TGTGGTCGTCGCGCCATTATATTCGAGATAGCTTAGGTTGGTTAGTTAGCGTGCAAGTACACGTATCAAAGGCACTCAGAATCCGAGCTTAACAAAGCCGGCTCCTGCTTTACCAACCGTGTCACGTACGCACGCGTATACCTTACCTGAGAGCCCGCCGAATCTGGCCGCGAACTCCCGCACACCTACTCAGAGAGAGAGAGAGAGAGAGAAAGCCAAACTCACGACAGTTGCACCTCTCTATCCTTCCTCTACCGACTGCGGTTTTAAGCGACAAACTCGACCACAGTCGACCTGCATTGCGCTTGGAACAATACGTACTCCCCCGCACGCCACCGTCAGCTCGGGACAAATTACTAAGCGTTTGCTTCAATCAAGTACTGATTTCCTCGCGATGCTAAACTTAGCTGAAGCGATTAGCGCGCATGATTAGGAAACATCGCTGGAAGCTTGCGATAGCTGCGAGCCGCAGAAAGCAATGTGCGTCAAAGTCGTCATTCTTATTTTCATGAAAATTCTTATTATAGAATGCTCCGTGTAAGATAATATTTAATTTATAGTGACATTTTAGTTTTTCAATTCTGCTGTTACACGCGGATTCGCATACTCGAATTTGTAATTGTATGTGGTATAGGTTGATGTCGCCAGACATCATCGGTGAATATAATGCACAGATTCAATTTGATATCTGTCATTTGCAATGATGGATGTTTTGGCTGTGTAAAAATGAAAGTGGAGCATCAGCATACATAATTACCATTAATGATATCGACATTAGATTTATCATCAACATTTATGACAACGCCTCTATTATTTAAACATATTTGTTATTTAAAAATTCAGAGTTTTAATAAGACGAAGATATTCATTTTGAATATCTAACGATTCTCTCAACTTGCCTGCATAAATATACTTTAATAATAAGTAGAAAAATATTTTACCAGCAAAATTTACAGTTTTAGTGGCACTAAAGTAATGTAATTAAATTATATATTGCTTTGTACGAGTTTTGCTTTTAGCAATTCTGAGCACGTAGATATTCAATATAATAGAGCTGATACTTAAAGCTGTAAAACGTAAATTATAATCTTTGGAAACTTTGTCATCAATGGATATCATCAAAACACTGAATTTTATTTACTAATCGCTTTTGAAATGAATTACAAAACATTACATTAGCCTCGATCTATTAAATTAAAGCGTTGGATGTTGTGTCTAATTTGTTTATATTTCCATAAAAAATATCTTACTTCAGTGCAAATCGTCTTAAGAGCCGATAAGCTCTATGGCAACATCGCATGTTTCATTTAATATTTCAATTATAAATACTTTATCGTGAAAAAAAAGTCGATAAAGTTTTATAGGATTCTGTCTCAAACCATAAGAAGAAATTAATTAAAAAAAAAACAAAACAAAACAAAACAAAACAAAACAAAACAAAACAAAAGAAAATAACTTAAAGTTATGCACTTACCGTACATAATATATTATATAAGGTAATCGCTTAAATTGATAATTTATCACATATAAGTATACATACGGTAAATATTGTTAATTAATTGTCAATGTATCTTGTTTCAATAGAATAAAGCTATTAATTAATATTTTAGTTAAATAAAAAAAAAAAATAAAAAAATTATTAAATTAAATTTTACTCTTACTTTGACTTCAATTATGATTTTAAGTTTTACAATCCTACCGACAATTGCATAATAAACGTCTATTTTTAAAGTAATCTCACTCTAATTATATCTATAAATTTTACAAATCTTCAAAGTCTTTTCAATTGTTTTGACATTTATGGAATATTTTTCCTCGATTCTTGGTAACAGTTATACAAAACATTTAGATATTTCTACATTTTTTTTATATAAAATTTCCAAGTACTTAACGCGACTATTCGAAACAATTTTACATTTCAATGACAAATGCATTGCCAAAAACAAATTTATATAAAAGTTTTTTTGGTTTTTCAAAGATGAAAATAAATAATAAGCATCAAATAATGTTTAAATGTTAAATGAAGAAAGTAGTTTTGTAAAATACATTTTTATTGATTAACAATATATAGCGATAATAATAATAGATGATATTTACGTTATTATAGTTGTATAGGTTGTTCTACTAAGCAACTGCCTATAAGAATATAAACATGTAGAATATATTTGTTTATTGATTGACGAATCGAATTATATAAAATTTGTAAATAAGTACAAAAATGTTATATATGTATACAAGTTAAACATGAGCGGTATTCGAGAATTTCTTAGTAACAATCGTTATTAATATATATTAAATAACGTTTACTAGTATTAGATTGAATTCCCGGAACATACAATGCTCGAAACTGGACTTATTCTGTATTTATTTACAAATAAATTGTAATCAATGTGTATAAGATGGTTATTAATGTCAAGACGAATGTTTGGAGAAAATTATAGCGGATCTTTAAGATGACGGGAAATAGCATATTAGAATTACGCGTAAAATTGTAAGTTTTGGTGTGACGAAACTAGAAATGTACATTAAAAATTAACAAAAAAAAAAAAAAAATAAATAAAAATAAAAAAAAAAAAGAAAAGAAAAAAATAAGAAAACAAAGCAGAGGAAACGCCTACTATTACTATAAGAGCGAATACATGAATCTCGAAAGAGCGAGAGATAATATAGTAGGCGAGACAAAGCCGGCGCGCAATAACCACTTAGAGGTTATAGCTGTGAGAAGGACAAAAAGTAAAGAAAAGGCGTTGATCCAGGAGTCATCGTATATAATCCGATTTGGCGCCACAGCCGAAGTGCTCGAGTGCGCGGTTATATCTTTATAAATGGAAGCACTCGCGATGCTCCCGTATAATAGACGACGTGGCGACGTATCACACGTATATCGCTCACGGGATTTGCAAAATTATGCGTCTTTTGTTGTCCCTTGGGCCCTTTGCCCTCACGAGCAACTGTCGGTTATTGGCTGGCAACCAACGAACGAGCTTGGGAGCGCGGCGACACGTACGCAAGAGCCTCGAAAATCGCTTTTCTTCTCACTCTCTCTCTCTCTCTTTCTCACTCTCTCTCTCTCTCACTCTCTTTCTCGCTCTCTCTCTCTCGCTCTCTCTCTCGCTCTCTCGACGGCTCTGCCATGCGAGGTGAGAAAAGCCATTTTTCTCCTTTGTAAAAATACTCGAATATTGAGGATAAAAATTTCAAGGCAAAAGTTTTTATTTTTTTGTTTTTTTTTTTTGTTGGTTTTTAACCAAATCCATTGTGCACTTCCATTGTACGTTCTATCGTTGAAGTCATGAAATGAGACCGAATGTTTCATTTTTCTATCGTGGGTATTATATACGTTTTACATTTAACATTTAACCGCCATTATATACATGTTGTGTAAAATGGTAAACGACTAAGTCCCGAAGGACAAATAAACTTAAATTGTGTACATCGATTCAGCCGATCCTTGAGCGATTAATAAATAGCAGATTCAACTATATCGTTAAATATCTTTTTAATCAATTTGTTCAAATTTTTATTATTTTCCTATGAATTATAAAAATTTATTGTCCACCGATTTGTGCACTACGTTTTTCATTTCCATATATTTGTTTATACTTAATTATATGATTAATTTTCGTAATAGCTAGAGGAAGAATTTTGTGTCGATAGAAAAATTGATAGATATAGTTGTAAACACATTTAACGATAAGTGCTGAAATTAGTAGAAAAATAATTTCAATAACTTCCCATATATGATTATTATACTATTATTATTATTAGACTATTATTATTATTATTATTATCATTATTATCATCATCATTGTTGTTGTTGTTGTTGTTGTTGTTGTTGTTGTTATTGTTAATGTTATTATTGTTTTTGTTATTGTTATTGTTATTGTTGTTGCTGTTGTTATTATCATCATCCTTGGAGTGATTTTTTTAATCTGTGTTCTGATTTATTGGCCGACAATATCATTGAAAAATAAAGAAAAAAAATTAATATCACTTACATTAGAAAATTTCTAAACGAATATTATCGTGTATAAATCAAATAACAAGGTCTCGTTTATGACTAAGAATGCGAAAGAACGTTATTCAGGAAAAACATCGGCCATTCGAGTATTTAACGAGTTGTTGTCATCCAGCAATGTCATCGATGATTATTATTCACTATTAATGGAACATCAGCCCAGATAAAGAAGTCATATATTCTCTCTCGCATTATAAATGTTATATGCCATAATCGAGATGTCAATAATTAATTCCTCACCATATACGATTACAATTAAATAATGTTTTTCCGACGAAATCACCTGCTTATAAAGAATCGTCCGTGTATACATTTCACGAGGTATTTAATTTTTACAAACGCGTCAAGAAAGCAAAAGAGGCAACCGTAACTTGAGCTTCTTTCGGTAATTTTTTGCACACAATGTCGGCCTTTAATCCCTTTGACATCTTGGAAAAAGAAACCCAATGCTGCCCTCTCTATCCAGCATGTGCAATTTATTTTACCAACATCTCCCATCTCCTTTCTTCTTCGGTGGTTGAGGCGACTCATTAACCGACGTGAGATAACGCGCGTGCGCGCGTAACCGGCAACCCTCACCTACGCACCTTGCCATGGTATACGATTACCATGCAAGATGCTCTCTTCCTCGTCATTTTCCTGTTGGCGTCAAGGCAGAGGTCGGCCGCACCTACGCCACGCAACCCTAATTAATTGTGAGGGTGGTAGATCGACCTGGGATGAAGCATTTAATAAATAGAGAAAGATTATTGTCGGCTCGCGTTCCTGCCTCCCTCGCGTTATATGCATGCATCCATACTTGACGTGCCTACCTATGTTTACGTACACACGCTCATACACATGCGCAATCGCTGACGTGAACCCACACGTGCGCGCCCTCACGCATGTAGGAGCGCCTATACGTGTTTCTCTATATATATTTTTAAAATTTTAGGTTACGTTATGTAAAATAAACATAGATGTTAATATGTAATCTAAAATTTATGCTCATTTCAGTAATAATAATTTTGTACTATAGAAGATATTTTTATTTATATTCGTAATATCATGCTGGACAAAACAGAAATGCCCGAGAATCAACAATTGTCGAAAGAAGATTACTTAATAAGACGTGCTAATGAAGCTTTGTCGACTGATATTTATGCTGCCAAATCTTGGTTAATAACTGCGAAATCCTTGTTTCCACATAGTGCCAAAATTCAGGTAAAATTATGGCAAAAATTTAATTAAAAGCTATTTTTCTATACCTTTATGTACATTGTACGAGTCATGTATCTGTTCTTGGCAGTTCGAAGCCTATCGAGTGGAGAAATTGTCCAAGAATGTCAAGGAGGCAGCAAAGTGCTTTAGCGAAATGTAAGATTTTAATATTTGTAATTCTATGTAAAATAATGTATCAATCATTCGTAAGAAAACTTTATTCACAATTTGTGTGATTTTTTAATGAAATTATTTGAAATAATCGATGATATTTTATACGTGCGAATGAAACCGACTGATTTATTATTGTTAGATTTCAGAATTTTCCAGACGATCGAGATATATGGAAAGAGATTGAAAGAATAACTTTCTCGTTGAGATCGGAGCAGTGCGACGAAGATGCGGAATTATTGTGTCACATGTTCCAACATATACCGCAGGATCTTCAACATCGTTTGCTTATTATGACAGCAGATCATAGCGAAGATACAATGGAGCATTGCAAATTATTGTTACTCTTGTTAAAGCGATTTCCTCAAACTATTTCCACTCATGGAGTCAGTTTCGCTTTAATGTTCTTATATTTCTTACGTCTTAAGATTAAAATTACATCTTACGAATATTTTAATTTTAGCCACGGTTAGTTGAGACGTTATTAACAGCCGAGAAACATAGTCATCCTGGAAAGGCTGTCAATGGATTTAGAAAATTATTAGTTTGCGAAGCATTGCCACTTCTCGGCGCTGCACCCGTCGAATTAAATGCAAGACTAAGCTTAAGATTACTTTGTAAAGCAGTAGAATTCTACTTTGCTTATATACAGCAACCTCAAGATACTCAAATTATAAAACCATGGGATAAATTGTTCCAAGTAGTGGAATTGATTGGAAAGAAATTGGGATGGGAACTAAGTAACTTATTTACGTTACCATGGAATCGAGAAGTATACTGCGACCGACTTCAACAGTACACCAATGCACATTCTTCAGGATTATGCGATGAAATTGTTGTAAGGCAATTGCTTATCTGCTCGGTGGTAATTTTAATAAGGATATTGAACGAGCATACGGCTTTAATCAATAATGATGAAATATCTTATTGCCTTGTCGAAGCTTTCATCGATACTCTTCCAGGTGGGTAAAACGAGTTTTTGTCAGTTTTAAAATGCATTATTAAATTAGTTATCGAATATCTCTACGAATAATTAATTTCTTAATGCTAAATTTTTCAAACGGCATAATAGAAATGAAATTTAAAGGAAAATTTTTTTTTCTACGGTTCTACGATTGTAAAAATATAATATAAACAATTTTTATTACTTAAATTCTTGTTATATACTGTATGTTCGTTTGAATGAAATTTTTGCCAAAGTGAATTTCAAACAAGTTTAATCATTTGCATAAAATGTTATTGTTATTAATAGTCGCAGAGCCAAAAGTTAAAAAACGAAAAAGAGAAGAGTCTTTAGGAATCACAATTACAAGCGATGGAGAATACAGTGGTAATGGATTGGCCTTAGCTGTTAAATTATACGATCTTATACATAGTAGTGAATATTTACAAAGAGAAACTGTTAAAATAATTCAACAAATGCGCTTAGAAACGTGGTTAAATCCATTTTTAAATGATCTTGCAATGTATAAAGGTATGCATCATGATTTATTGTTGAGACTTCCTCAAGAAACAAATACACTATGTGCTCAACTTCGATTGGCTAGTACATGTTTCTTTGTTAAAGACTACAAGGTATTGCAGTGATTTTTACATATTTAAACGATTTGAAACATAGGCATTTTTACAATTTTATCTGGTAATTTGATGATTTTTTATAATTTTACCGCACACTCTATTATAAGATAATGCATATTAAAATACTTATTTAGATTTATATTGAGAAAAAAATTATCGTTGAAGTTGCAGAATATGCCAATGTCTAAAGAAATGTAAATATTCATAATACATTTGTTGTAAAATAATTTGTTTTCAGTCAATGATTGAGTATATAACATTAGTAGCAAATTCCTTACCAAATTCAGAAGGAAAAGTATCCAACAATCTTACTGTTCCAGCAGTTAGACATCTACATTACTTAACTCTAGCTAGGTTTCCCGTTTTACAGTATTGTTGCAGATTGCTTATTTCCGCTATAAAAGTATGTGCATCGTTATTATTAAAAAAAAAAAAATATATATATATATATATATATATATATATATATATATATAATTTCAATGGAAAATTAATTCGAAATGTTGAAAACCATTGTAGGATAGTTTTGCATGGCCAGGCGGAGCCGGGGACTTGGCTATCGGTCATGCATTAGTTTTAATGCAAATTGATTGGCCACAAGAAGCTATGATGCTAAATGTTATTACAAAAAAAATATTGAATCGGAGATCCTTTTGTTACCCTCTATTTCAAGCTTATATTATATCTGTTGATATTTTAGAAGAGTTGACGTATTTATGGACCGATCATGGCGGAGGTGTACATTTAGATATCGCTGTTAACACTGGAATTTTACAAAGTATGCGTGTAATGAAAGGGCGACTCGATGCAACTTGCTAATTACAACTTACTTTATAGATCGCAGAATCTCAACACGAGGAACGGATAAAGGGGCACGAGAAGAAGTAAAGCAAACGATGAGGCGACAGGCAGCTAGAGATGGAGTTGACGCTCTCGATGAATTACTACAAAGATTTATTCTTAATGAAAAGAAAGCCTTGCAACATAGTTTAATTGTACGATAATAAATTGTAAATTGAATATCTTTTATATTATTAATAAATGTTTAAATTTTACTCTTCTTAGTCATTGGCTTTGCTTACCACATAGCCTATAATTTAAAATCATTATGTCTCGTGACTATTTAAAGGTTAAATATTTTGTAAAATCTTTATTTACCATTTAAACTTTAACATCCTCGTAATTATTAAATCTTTACAAAATTAAGAATGATATTAACAGTGTAGATTCATTGTTATACATTCACAATCAAAAGGTTTTATTTTACAAATGTTTTATGATATAAATAACTCTGAATATGAAGTATAAGCAACAACATTGCATTACAAATACATTAGCGTCGTTAAAATTCTAAGTTTTAATGCAATTTAAGATGATTGAAAATAATTTTTCTTTGACTTTTAAATGGTTGACATATCTACTCTTACATTAGTTAATTTCAAACCTTCGATGCTACTTGATTTATGCCATTTTATCATTAATCCTACAACTAGTATACAAAACAATATATTTTAATATATTTCTTACGCAGTTCATTATTATGTTTATAATCTTGACTTTGCAAATATCAATCTTAAATAATATTTCTTTTTAAAAGACTGTAATGTCTTTATAGAACCAAAAAATATAAAGACAACGAACGACATTACTGGAAATCTTGAAATAATAAAATCAATTTGAACATTATGATCAATGAAGAAACGCAATGTTAAATTTAAAAGTAGAATACAGCATTAGAATATTTGATATTTTCTATTTACAAAATTCTTTTTACTTTCAATACCTATAGTATTAAAGTTTACAGTGCTTTTTTATGTTTTAACGCTGTTTCATTACTCTTGTTACTGATAAAAAGTTATTAATATAATCGATAAATTTGCGAAAATCACACTATTTGATCTATCAGAATATAACTTTTCTCATTAGCAAAATTATTAATACAAAGTGAAGCTGAAGGATATCAGTATTCATTATTATTGGTATAAATTTTAAAGCTATCGATTTATCTTATATAAACGCCCAATTGAAGGGCACACTGTATTAATACTTTAATTCCTGGCATAAATGAAGCGATTTGGCTAAAATCCGGTCCAGAAACCAATTGCGTGTGTACCGATAATCCTCCTGCATAATCTCCGCTTTGAACCAAATTGCAAATTTGATGTAGACCTTGCAACGTATTTTGCGAAATCTGCAAATAGAGATGGAACATTGGAATAAGTTGTTTTTGTTTTTTGATTAAAACATATGCAGCAATGTCAGCCAATTAAACTTACTTTTTGCTCTCTCAAACAATCGTAGAAAACTTCTAATTTTTTCGAAACATCATCGATTTTCCTCTTGACTTGCTGAAATTTAATATAATAAATTTATAGAAATTGCGTATAAAATTTGTTTGTTTTTTCTTTGTTTTTGTTTTTTTTTTGTTTTTGTTTTTGTTTTGTTTTGTTTTTGTTTTTGTTTTTAAACGCATTTCACATTACATTAACAATTCAAATAAGTTAATCCTATAAATTTATACACATGATATCGGAGTAAAAATTTCCTTCTTTTACAGTGACAATATTTTGACATTTAAGATATAATTGAATTTTAGAAATAGATGAATAAATATTATATAATACTCATTATATGATACTAAGAGAGATAAAAGAACAATTTCATACCGGATTTTTCGCATTTTCAAAACACTGGTCTTTCAATTCATTGAATGTAACTTGAAGTTGCAAATTCTCCTGTGGAATCGGTGCTTTCGGCTTTTCAGGCTCTGGAGCTCTGATTATTTGGGCAGGCTGCACAGGTTGCACAGGTTGCAGAGGCTCCGAGGGCCTATTATATTGCTGAATTCCTTGGGCAGGAACGTTACGATTGTATTGATTGTACATAGCTTGCGGATCTTGATAATTTTGTTGATGTTGATATCCAGGATTTTGTTGATATATCTGCACATTTTTAAGTCATTTAAAGCCACACCGACGATCAGAAAAATGACTATTCATAATATTTATAATATAATATTAAATAGATTTATTTTTAATTTACACAACAAGAATTATTGTCATTTGTGTACTTGGGAATTTTCATTAAAAAGCATCGTGACTTATTTCATCATCTTAATTGTGTAAATTTATATAAGTTAATGGAGAATGGGGGAAAAAAAAAAAAAAAAAAAAAAAAAAAAAAATACTTGATTAGATCAAAAAATACTTTTAGATGTAATTCTTAATGACATAGTAGTACATCTTTTTTAAAATTATTACATACGTTAGATTCCGATGTTGGTGCACCTCTTAATGGTTGCAGAATTGGATCTTGGCGCTGGAATTCCGACTTCGGCTTTATAAAAATATATGTATTAACATCAAGCATATAAGTATGTATAACTATTAGTAAAAAAAAAATTGCGCACTCAATGACAAATTTTGTAAATGATTACAATTAATAAAAAAAAATAATAATAAAAAAAAAAATAAAAAAAAAAAATAATTTCAAATTAGCAAAATTAAATTCGTATCGAACAATTTTCTGCGCAAATTCAAACATCGAAATTAATTCGTAAGATTTTATAAATATATTGTTTTCAAAAATCCATATTCAAAAATAAATTCTTTGTTTTATATGATTACACGAGCTCTACAAGTGTATTTAAAAAAAAACAGTCGTTAAGGGGTAAGGAACTTTAGATAATTTAAACAATCTGTTTTAATTGTTGTAGTTTGTAAAATTATGTTATCTTAAGAGTTTTATATTATAGTCGTAAAATTATCTGTTGAAACATACGATTGCAAAGTCTTTACTACAAAGAGTTCATATTATTATTAATTGTTGCTCATTTTAGATGATAATATTTATTTCTTGAAAAAAGCAACACAATTAAGCTTGATGTACCTATCTACGGTAATTTTAATTATTTATTCGAATGTATGTGTGTGGGCGTGTGCTGTGCGTGCGTGCGTGCGCGTGTATACAATAAAGGTTCGCAGCCATTACTATTTTAGGAAATAAATAAATAAATTTATAATTTGCCCACGCGAGATGAAAATATAGTACAATAAATTTAATATGACTCAGGTGTAAAAAATATTTCATTATCAAGCACAAATTGATGTTTTAGAAACTAAAAGCGACAACGATTCATTTAAAGACTTAAAATATATAATTATAAATAAATTTATAAGTACACATGTTATTTATATGAAATAGTATTAAAAGCTTAAAACATTATTTTTACGCAACTAAACTTTCAATGGCAGTGTACAAAAAATATCTTAAAAACATTTCAAACGATAAACTAAAACTTTTATAAATTCTCTTATAAATCCATTCTAAGATTCATTATAATTTATTATGCCTTTCGGAATTTATATTATATAATATAGTAAAATTAAGCATTAAATGGGAGAAATTTTTTTCTAAAATTATAAATTTATTCGATTTTTAATTTATTAAAATTTATCATATTTGAAATAGGAGCTAGAGTGGAAAATATTTTTATTTAACTTAACTTGCTCTATCGTCTATAACGTCTCTAAATGTCCATTAAATAGTTGAAAAATGCCTATTGTATATATAGCGATGATGATGATATGGTAAAACTACTAATTTTCGTTTTCTAAAGTCCCCAAACCCCTTAAAACGAGGAGTGTGTAAGAAGCGTAATTAGTATTGTAAAAAATAGTTCTATTCAAAGTCATGTAAAAAGATCTATGATATTTAGCGGGATAATCACTCAGGGCAATGCAAATTGTTCTACCTTCGCATCGACACCCTTTGTATACTTTTCTTTCCACTTCCTGCTGCCAGCGTGTTCAGCGCACATTTCGTTTTTGACGAATAAAGCCAATACTGGCTAAATACGTTAAGTAAGATTATTTATTTGAAATTTTGTAAGAATTAAAAAAATACAAATATTTTTATTCGACTCGTGTTTATTTACATTGCTACTTCTAGATACCAGCATTTGTTAGATTTATAATCTCGCGATAAATGAGTACCAATGAGGAACATGAATACATTTGAAATTAAATAGTTCATTTAATTGTGTATGCAATTAAAATAATATAATACATGAGACATAATAGTTGTATCTTATGAATCTTATGAATATTTATATTATCCCATTTAAAACCAAATATTTCGCGGAAGTAGCGAAGAAATTTAATAGCATTTTTAAATGGGCAAAAAAAATTCTTTCATCTTCAATAAAGGAATTTATTAAACAATTTGAATCTATTTATTCTCACATTATTTAATTAACAAAAATGGTTAAAAATAATTAAAAAAACATGTAACATTATAATTATCGCCCAAATTTTTCTTTATTATTATATTACACTTATTTTCCATCGATTATGTCCCATTCAATATATGTTTTTACATAATTTATAATTCATCCAACCTCGGCGGTATATTTAAAAATTTGAATTTATATTCTTATTCGTACAATCTATGATATTAGCTATATATAATATATAATGTTATATATTGGTAATTGGAATTTCGGCAAATTATGACAGCTTTACGTCTAAATAAAACTAATCATCACGTATGGGATTATTCCATACGCTTATCTCAATCAATGTAAGTCTTGTACTTTTTTATAATTAATCTCTATATCATAAAATCAAAGAGAGTCTCGATTTATTAGTATTAACTCGGTATTATTACGTACATGCTAAGAAATAAAAATGAAAATATATAAAATTATTATTATATTATTATATAATGATTATTGCTCAATGCTTCGTTAAATGTCGAATCATTTACTGTAATTTCAACAAAAAAATCTACGTGTACCATATCTATTCTTACGCTTTGCAAATCTTATTGGAAGCTTCCATAATACGAAGCTTCTATTCTGAACTCGGGAAAATAATTTTGGTCAAAAGTTCGGATTACCTGTGAAGAGTTTCCTTTAGCGATCGGCGGGTCATTCCATCCAGACGACTGCGATAAGGGCTGATAAGCTGTTTCATTGGAGTAGCTGAGGGATTGTGCCGACACATTCGGATCGTAAACATTCGGCTGAGATAATCTTTGATGATGATGCTGCTGCTGCTGCTGCTGCTGCTGCTGCTGCTGCTGCTGCTGCTGGAGTTCGAGCTCCCCATACATATTACTTTGGGCATCGGTTTTGCCGTAACTTCCGAAATTGCCCATCGGTTGCGACTGTTGCATCTGAAATCCGACGAAATTTTATGACTTAAAGTGATGATAAGCGATAAACATCGTGTCAATTATCGTCAATACGAACGGCACTTTAATAAAGAAAATAATTTAAGAAAAGAACAAGGAACAAAACATCGATTATCATTAAAAAGCAAAACAAACAAACAAACAAATAAACGAATAAATCAACAAATAAAACCGACGCGATATAAATTAGGATAAGATAATCTATGACAATGTTATATGAATATTCGTATTTTAATTGTCTATGCAAAAGATGATAAAAGAAAAAAACGTTAAAAATGGCGAATATTTTTTTTTTTTTTTTTTTTTTTTTTTTCATAGAATTGTTGCAAACGTATAAACATTGTTACCGAGTAGGCAGTTTGCATGGGAAAGCTACCAGGCACCGAGAAAGCTTGTTGCGGTTGCTGTGGTAGTTGTGGTGGTGGCTGTTGTTGCTGCTGCGTTAGAGGAGGTGGCGGCGGCTGCTGCTGTTGTTGCTGATGCTGTTGCTGCTTCTGCTGTTGCTGCTGCTGCTGCTGCTGTTGTTGTTGCTGCTGTTGTTGTTGCTGCTGTTGTTGTTGGTGTTGGTGTTGGTGTTGGTGTTGGTGTTGGTGGTGGTGATGGTATTGCTGGACACCGGAAAGTATTTGCTGGGGCTGTGGGAATCCCGATGAGCCGTAGGTCGGGCCCGATTTTACCGAGGGATCAAGAATGTACTTGGATCGCGAGTGCGGGCCGACACTCGGCGGCCTCGAGCTACTTAAATTCGAGCCTTGGCTCGCCGTAGGCGGGGGCGGAGGTACGGCCGGGGTCATTGTCGTTTGACTGTAGGGATCCGGGCCCGGAGCCGCAGGTATAAACTGAGTCACCGGCGCCGTACCGATGCCCGCGTACGACTGACTCGTGACTGCTCCACCCCCGTAAGATTGGACCGGGACGGCCCCGTAGGGGCTCTGCTTCGTCGGCGCAACATTCCACGTGGATCCCTGCTGGGCTGGCACCGACATTGGCAAGTTTGTTGGGGCGCCGGGAAGCGACTTCCTCGGCTCATTGGCCGCGTACATATTCTGCTAGTTCACGGAATATCATTAACATTAATATTTAATAATCTTAGTGCTTGTACATTAAATCGCAAAGTGTCCAAAATTTTTAAGTTTTCATACATAAATGTTGCTCTTCTAAATTTTTTTGTTATAAATTAGTAAGGGTTTTCTAAAAAGTCGCTACGTGCAGCACATATAAGCACTGTTCAAAGTTCATTATTTATAAAAATTTTGAATAAGTGGAAAATTAATCCGAGAATATTGTATACAAATGATACATATAATGGCAATGTAATTATTTGCAAAAAACTTCAATTTACGTTAAAGGCCTATAAAATAGGCACACCGAGTAAGTAGAAGAAAGATAGTAAAGTTGAGTGGCTGATAAATTTACACGTAAGGTTGTTAATTATATGAAATACGCGTACGTAATTCAATGATACTATATTTGTTTAGTCAAAGCCAATGTAAAAGCGACAATGGTTATTTTGTATATTGCATATCGTGATAAAAATATATCGCATGAGAAACGAACCGTGGGAACCATTCCAGGCACGTTTGAACTCTGAGGTCCGGCACGAATATGTCCGAGGGCTTTGTAGAGCCGATCTCGTAGCACCACGATCGTCTGCTCCTGACTGTCGCCAAGGTAGCTGAGGGCGGAGTCGAGGTCACCCTCGGCTGCGAGCATCTCCGCATAGCGCGTGAGGATGCCGGCGATGTTGCCTTCGATATTGATTTTACGCATAGAATGGAATTCAAGAGCTCTTTGCATTATGCTTACGAGCTCCACGGCTTCCTGAATGTCAGACTCCGTCGACTCGATTGTCTTGTTGAGATTGCCCGAGCAAATGTAGCAGATTTGCGCATCCTTGCGGTGATTTGCGTTCTCCGAGGCCGCCAGCCGGTCACCCAAAATATCTGCATATCACGCAGCATTTTCATTAAGCATAATTTATTACGTTTCCGATAAATAATTTATTTGGATATTTTAGTGGAACAGTGCTTGAAAAATCTGCATAGCTACATTTAAAATTTTTGAACTCGATTACCTTTGCCAATTCGGCTAGCAAAATATATTGAAAAAGCTTGCGCATAATTAATTACTTTAATTAATCTGATCTTTAATCATTTTTTATTTATTTTTTTTTAAGTATTTTTCTTATTGTTATTTTTAGTTATGAATTTTCATATATTCCATGGTATATTTTTATTTTTATGACAGTTTCTGGCTTTAACGTTGCATATATTATATTATACAGAAATACTTATTTATTTGTAAATTTGTAATTAAAATATTTCGAGAATTTTTCTGCTGGTATATAATTAATGTATTCCGCGGTATAAACCGCAATTATTTTAAAAAGTTTTGGTTATTAAAAAATCATCTCTCGTACAAACTTGTTATCGAAAGTTGGAAGAAAATATTTTTTCTAATATACAAAAATCCTTTTTGAGCAAAAAGAATTATTAAAATTCAAATTATTTCAAAATTTTATTTAATCTCAACATGATCATACAATAGTTTCTTTAACGATGAAACATCAAATTAAAAATATAAGCATTATAAAGAGACTTTTAATTTTCTGTATAAAAATTAGTATAAAAATCATTTATCATTTTTTATAGAATAAAAATATTGTAATAAATCTACGAAATTTAAATTTAATTAGATGTAGTCCCTTTGAAACGCGATTACAGTTTCTTACAATTTCCTTATATTATATGAATATATCGTTCGTTATCCTTTGAAAAATTATTTATAATCATAAGGAATTTGAAGTAAGTATTTCGAGGCCATAATACATAAACTTTGTGAGAATAAATATCAATTTAACTATAAGTATGTTAAAAAATTGTAACCAATGAATCTGAGAAAGGAATTATGCATGGATACCAATTTTCATAATGAATAACGTGAATAAGTGAAAAGAAAAAATAATCATTATAAAATAAAATAATTTCCATCATAATTCTAATTCACCATTGTTAATCAGAATATTTATAAAATATTCGCAACTTGTCAGCGATAATGAAAAAAGAAGCAATTTTTAAGCTATCGAGTAATTTCACCTAATGTTAACTCAATGATTATTTATACGTCAATGGATATTTAATAAAATTATCGTTCATGTTGATTTTGTTGTCTTAAAAATTAATTTCTTCATAAACATGCGCAAACTCACCGCACAGTACGCTGCGCTCCTCGGGACTAGTATGAGTGAACACACCAACAATAGCTTCCTTCCAACAATTTATGTCGCAGTTTTTAACAACATCCGCCCAATTTTCACTTACTAATGAATTAATAAGAGAATTTAAAGCTCCTGTATGCTCGGTGAAATATCTGTACTGCGTTTGAGCTAACAGATCCGGACCGCCAGTCATGGAAAGAATGACCGCATCTGCATATCTTTTATTTTCAAAACATAAGGCTACAGCAGCTTCAATATTTCCCAAAAGAATCGCTTGTGTGATTAAACCATTATCGTCTGAGAAGAGTTATAAGTTAAAAAAAATACTTCATTCTGTTATAAATTAATGTTTAAAGAAATGTGCATTACCATCCGATGTATATATTCTAAAACTAGTATCTACTGATTTATTCGAAGCTTTACTCTTTGCTATTGCTAATTTACTTTGTTCCTGTTCAGCAATGGCATCAAATGCTAAACTTCCATCGAGCGTATTACCATTCATAATTTGCTACAGCATAAGTTACAGTTATCAGGTTAGATATTTTTTTATTATTATTAAATCAATCATTTCAATTGGCTTACTTTATTTAATTTAGACATTCCTTCGGCAATGGTATTCACCTCGTCGGGAGGCAGATACTTATTTAATTTATTATTTATTTCGTCTACGTTATAACCTAAGAGTCCTAATAAGTCTTGTGTCACATTTTCACCAAAATAGGCACCTATACAACTCCAAACTTTCTTCTTATGTTCATCTACGGTATTATCTACTTTTCCCTTGCAGAAGTCACTAAATTGCCCCGAATTTAGAGCAGCTTCCAATTCATTCGAACGCTGAATAAGTTCAGGATTCAAAATCACTTGTGATATAAAGACTTTTCTATTCGAATTCACGGGCATGTTGGTATCAATTGGTTCGTTCTCAAATATAGTTAATTTTCCACCAAACTTAAAGGATAAAGCAATTTGTTATTACACTAAATAATACACATAATAATGAGAATACGATATTATAAGCGTGCTTACGCTAAATGAAGCGCCAAATGGCCTTTTTAACCATTTTGGTGCTTTTTTAAGTATGGCTGTAGCTTCCGTTTGAGCAGATGGTGGGGGTTGTGTGAATGGATCCATACCAGGAAAGGAGTCGACGATTTTATTGGAGGTTTCCACAGACTCTTGATTATGTCCACCCAATAGTGAATAAACGGTAGCTAATCCATCAAAGCTAGTTCCTGCAATTAAACCCGGATGACGAGGACACCATGAAACGTCAAAGTTCCACTGATTTGTTTGAGCCAACTCGCAAACAACTTCGCCATTCTGAAAGTCCAAAAAACTTATGTATATTCTTGAATCGATGGATGAGTAATTAAATTGTAAGTATTGGATGATTTAATGAATACTCACCGGCGCTTCTGAATTTGGATTCCAGCAAAGTATTCTATTGTCTTTTGCACAGCTTAGCAGGAGATCGGAATCATGCGCATTCCAGGCTATAGAAAGCACTCCTCGTTGATGATTGTGCAAGGTTTTTAAAGGGGATGTAGCAAATCTCAAATCCCATAATTCTATAATTGGAGCTTGATCATCTTCCGAGGCTAAGCACAATTGCGTAGCTACATCCGGATGCCATTGCACACACTTCCATCTCACCTAAGTGTAATGATATTAACATAGATAAGAAAGTAATTCGCTTATGAATTTTTGTGAATTTTAAATTTTAAACAAATTTTAAACCCTTGAATTAGCACCGGTCAGTTTTATTATTGCTTCGTTTTTTCTAAGATCCCAGATAACACAGCGTTGCGAAAAGGTCGACGCCAGAATAACTTCCACTACAATAAACGCACAATATTAATTGATCAATAATTTTTCTTACGATATAGTGCTCGATAATATTTAAAATAAAAAATGCCTTGTTTATTCCATTCTATATGCTGCACGTCTTCGTCCGGTACACTTTTTGAACCAGGAACAGCTGGTTTATTCATATTTAAATCCCAAATGTAAATTTCACTTTGCGTCGCAGCAGTTGCTAATAAATTAGGCTTAAATGGATTAAAATCCATTGCTTTAACTGGTCCTTCGTGTCTATCCAAACTGCTAATTAAAGAATTGCTATCATTAGCCAGCATTTTCGCTGCCGAGTAAATTTTTATCTTTCCATAATCGCAGCCTCCCACGATAATACCAGCTGGATTATTGCCATAAGATCCCCAAATTATTTTATGAAATCTACGCACACGCAAGACCATTAATTACATATATGGAATAAATTATATTATTATTATGAATAAACAGAAATATGTCAGGCGAACCTTTGATCGCTCATTACACTGTGGCTGAGTTGCATCTCATAGCCCGACTGCTGTAAATTAAGTAAATACAAGTCCAAACTAGCATTGGTACTAAAACTAGCATCCAATTGCTGAGCGGCAGTCCCTGCTGCCAGCAAAATTGGATATTGCGACGGCGGTGACCATGCCATATTCACTGTCTTATGTAGTTCCTTTACCTTCATGGTGATTCTACAAATTAAGAGAAAGAGAGAGAAAGCTATTATAATAAGCCGCAATAATCACAACTTCACAAGTGCAATTCAATATTCATCGCATAAGTTAAGTAAAAGTAAGCACAGTTTTTCTTAAAACATTGAAAGTTTTTGAGTGGTAATTTTAAAATACTGATATTAAAGGAAAACTACAAATACACCTTAAGTAACTTAACTTATATAATTCGTTAAATGTAATTGTGATTCATGATAATTAAAGTTTAATGACCCCTTGTCAAACATCTATGCTTATTGTCATAATACAAACTATACGCTCCATTAAAACAAAGCAATTATAAAATTAAAAAGTGCCTATTTACATTAATATTCTTTACCTGTTCAGTTTTTTCGACTAGTACAAAAAAAAATGTAAAATTATGCAAATATTCGCAAAGTTACAGACACCGCATCCATCCGTCAACTCTTCCTTTCCTTCCAACGTGGCGAGTGCATATCATGCCATCACGCATCATACTTTCATTATTAGGGTGGCAGCACCTTCTAGTATTATTTTCTTTATTTTATTTTATTTTTTTTTTTTTTTTTTTTTTTTTTTTTTTGTTTTATTGGCATTTCACACTGGTAGCACTGTAAATTTACAATTTAACAAGTAAATTCAAAAGTGCGCGGACTATAAGGCTTAGGTAAACAACGAATTTAGGCATTACGGGATTGTAATTAATGCATTACGACAGTCTCGACGGGAATCATAAGCATTATATATACTTTACTTTTTTAACATATAAATTCTATTTCCAAACTATCATGATGACATGTAGACGGATAATTGTTATTTGATATTAATTTCATAAACCTTTTACATATAATCTCATCATAATATATAATGCAAGACTTTAGATTGGTAGTTATCATTAATTTATTATAGTAAACTTATGTCGCAATTAAGTCAAGGAAGACAGATTTTGTTTTTATAGCAACGGGAGAGAAGCTAATAAAAACAAAACTAATAAAATCTGAAATTTAAGTGAACGTCGGCGAATGTTGTATGATGAGACATGTGGATATTTCGTTAGCGTGGCATGTTTTCACATATTGGAATATAATATCGTATAATATCGTATAATATCGTCTACCGATCATAATTGTAATAATATATAAAATTCAAATTAAAATTCGTTAATTCATTATTTTCATTCTAAAATATTCCTTCGACCATATATATGGTATATAGAAAAAAAGTAAAAAAAATACCCTGGTAAAATTATACATATGCAAAAATATTTATTTTCCTATAATATAATATTAAATATTATTCGTGAAATATTAGGTATGTAGAAAACATTTTTTACAAGTTTTTAATTGTATTACGTAGGCATGTGCCCAGTAAAGTCTGTTTACTTATCTAATGATAACGTGTCTTATTAGCGTCACCTAAAATAATATACATATATATGCATGTATGTATGCATTAGATGTATATTATTTATAATTATTGTAATAATTATATTAGATTTATTATTTAGAAAAAGTAATGAATAATAAATCACGAATTAATATCTATGTAGTGAAATTATAAAAATTTATAAAGTATTAGAAATCAAAATCTTATTTAAATGGTGTGATTGCATAATTAATTTACGTATATTTTATATAATCAATTATAGGTATAATAAATTATAATAATCGTAAAATCGAAGATAGATATTCGAAATAAATATGACATCATAAATTTTATTTTATAAATCAACTAAACCTATGAAATACCTTATAATTTTCCTTTTAAACCATACACCATAAATGGCAACGTCGCATTCACAGCTCGAGATAGTTGTACAAGTAATGAGTTTCTCCTCTTCTATTTGGAAATTGAATTGTTAATATAAGTTCTATTAATCATTGTAACAGATTTAAATTTTATTCAAACTCGCCAATTGAACATATTAGCGATTTCATAAATATTTATTATCAATCATTTTTATTTGATTAAATCATTCTTAAATTAAATCCTGTAAGTGGTAGCTCGAAGTAAATATTACAGAATATTGCCATATTAATATTTTATGACAGGCTGTATAAGATTAAGAAATATAAAAATTAATGAATATTTGATAAGAATTTTCACAACATTTTAAAGAATCTAGTACATGAAATATAAATATACAAATTCGAATTTTGTTAACGCGATTGTTATCTTCTTTTTGCAATCAGCATCTCGAGAGTATATGACGATTAATTTTATTACTATTTAAATATATTTTTTACACATACATTCTTTTTTTTTTTCTTTTTTTCTTTCGAAAGATAAATTCAAGATGTATTAGAGATATATTACAGTTCAAAAAAAAAAAAAAAAAAAAAAAAAAAAAAAAAAAACTTGCTATAAAATAATCCAACTAATTATCTTTCAATGAGTTTTAAATAAGTATAAAGCTTAAATTAATTGATTCGACCAACTGAAGAGAAAATATTTTATTGAAAATAAAACTGCCATTTGGAAAATTTACTATTCATGCTAATTAAATCGAATGGGAATTGAAAAATATAAACGACAAGGCTTCTGGACGCTATTCACCTGCAATCAAGTGCAAGTTTACGATATTGGTGTCCTTAGTGACGTAAATGGCCTCGTTTTTATCAAAATCATAAACTTGACAGCTGTAAACTTGTTAATAATTTGTAAAATAAAACATTTAATAATATATTACGATACTTGCAAGAGACGATCCGGTTTAATATCCTTGAGCTAATCGTAGTGTAACTTCGTTTAAAGCGAAATCCTCAAGATTAATCTGTGAGTTCGGAATTTCAAACTGAATATGGCGATTTTATATCCCAATGTCAATCCGTAATCATTATTGTTGAAAATGTTGTCGTAGCGGAGGATATTGTTGGTCGTCGTCGCTCTTTACAAATCAAAATTTCATCTTCCCCGAGAGACACATAAATAAATGTATCACTGAAAATTTTCATGGCTCCGTGAATGTACAATGATTGCTTTCAATTAAGAGATTCTTATTATTAAATCTAATTTGTATTTTATATAACTTGTAACAGTTTTTCTACTTCTCTTCATCATTGAAGTTATCGCATCAAGTTTCATTATATCATATTGTTGTAATGTAATTTCAATGAATTCAAAAGTTATAATTCAATGTGTCTAGTGATTAAAATATTTCTAATTTAATTCAGATGTTTTGCAACTAATATACTCGAATGTAATAAATTATGCATTATCCTAAATAATAATTATGAAGTTTTATAATTGGGCTGTATATATGCATTTTTTTGAAAAAAATTTTTTGAAAAAAAATTATTTGAAACAAAGGCAATTTTTAGATAATGTAAAATAACAAAAAAGATAAAGAAAAAGAAAATCGTGTTGTTAACATGTTTGTATAAGGTTTCTGCAAAACCTTAGTTAATTTTCAAATTAATTTAGCAGAAAATACTGTCATAATTATCGAATGGAAAATGCTAAAATCTTTACACACGCGCACGCACACGCGCACGCACACGCACACGCACACGCACACGCGCACGCACACAAAATCCAAGGTGCAAAATCAATAAACGAAAGCAACGAAATTTTGTACATTTAATTAAAATTAGAATTTCATCTATCATCCTTTTTGAAAATCACAAATAGCTGTCAATGATTAATAGTGTTGTTAAACGAGCTACGTTGACTTTTGCTGAGAAACTCGTTTAAAATATCGACATTTGGGTCGAGATGCCATAATATATAAAAAAAAAAAAAAAAAATCGTCGAATTGGGCGCGCGCGTGTATTCGAAAAAGCGCATTTACCATTCGACACATGACTTCTCGTGAAAAAGAAAAAAGACCTAGCGATGGAGTAAGCATTAGATTCAACTTCCAACACAGTCACGATCATCGAAAAGTGCGACGTTGTCATGCCATGGTGGCATCTTATAAGAGGAAAGTATCAATGGTGGCGCCAAGTCAACGGCAAGTGGAGGCACACTTGGCAAGTACATTAGTGCCGCCACAAGACGCCCGCCGTCGGCCAATCGACGCTCACCACGATCCAAAATCCCAGGATTGCTAAAACGTCTGCTAGAATGGCAGAGTTTCAGTTTTTCTCCATTATATTATTTAATTTATTGCTATATTTAGTTGCCTGTCTCGCTGAGTAAGTGCACATTTCATTACTTATGTATTTATCTAGATTTTCAATAAGAATTTTCAATTTTCACGCAACTTTTCTGACAACGTAACATAACCATTCGTAAATATTGATAGCCTCAATTTTGCATTCGAGTTGTAAAGTATGTTGAATCGTTCCTTTTATATTGTTTTTTATCGTACAATGAGAGTATGAACTGGTTGAATGGTTGTGTTAGGTTGTTCATCGTCTTAAGGGTTTTAATCGCTGGGAGAATTCGTTGGTTTTGCAATGTTGACTTTTGAATTTTTTCATGTAATATGCCATTGAGTCATTGCTTATTGTATTTACTTTGCTATTGATGTGATTAATTTGCTTGTAGGAGGGACTTTTACAAAATATTGGATTTGGATAAGAGTGCCAATGGGGACGATATAAAGAAGGCGTATAGGAAATTGGCTAGGGAGCTGCATCCCGATAAAAATAAAGATGATCCGGATGCGTCACGTAAGTTTCAAGATTTGGGAGCAGCGTACGAAGTGCTGTCCAACGAAGAGAAAAGGGAGCTCTATGATAAATGCGGAGAAGAGTGTTTGAAAAAGGAAGGTATGGCTAATCCGGCTGACCACTTTGCAAATTTCTTTGGTGATTTCGACTTTCATTTTGGTGGAGAATCTCGTAATCAAAATCAGCCTGTGAGAGGTTCTAACGTTATCATAGATCTTGTTGTCTCGCTGGAAGAATTATACAGTGGCAATTTCGTTGAGGTATTCAATTAACTATTGAACAAACAAATTCAAACCGACAACATCGACGTTTCAGTAATTACAGTTTCGATAATTTACAGATTACCAGAAACAAACCCGTTATAAAAACCGCTAGAGGAACTAGAAAGTGTAATTGTAGGCAAGAATTAATCACGCGTAATTTAGGAAACGGCCGCTTCCAAATGATGCAGCAGGCGGTATGTTCAGAATGTCCTAATGTAATTTTTGTAAATGAAGAACGAGTACTTGAAGTAGAAATCGAGCCTGGAATGGTTAATGGGCAAGAAACAAAATTCACGGCTGAGGGTGAACCTCATCTTGACGGGGACCCTGGAGATTTAATTTTTAAGTTAGTTTCCGTCATTCGCTTGTAAAGTTTTCCTTTCCTACTATAATTGAACATTATGTTTTATCCATTAATGATTTTCAGAATTAAGACACAGCCACATCCAGTCTTCGAGCGAGTTGGCGATGATCTCTATACTAACGTTACAATATCTTTACAAGATGCTTTAATCGGTTTTCAACTTGAGATTACACACCTAGACGGGCATAAAGTGGCAATTCAAAGGGATAAAATTACTCGACCCGGTGCGCGTATGCGCAAGAAAGGCGAAGGAATGCCAAATTATGACAACAATAATCTCCATGGAATTTTATACATCACATTTGATATTGCATTCCCTGAATCGGAATTCTCGGAAACTGAGAAGGAAGGTAATGTTGGAAAGTTAAAAATATATCAATCTTTGCTAAATCTCTATACTTCCATCATACATTTATTTCAAATTAACAAATCTATCCACATTTTTTTTATGTTAAATCAACTCTATCGGTTACAAATTGTAAAGTTACTCGCTAAAGTGCTATTCATTTAAGTAAGTAATCGAGAAATTGCAAAATTATAGCAATAATAATGTATTACTCGATGGAAAATTGATTTTGAACGCATTAAAGGATTATCATTCAATCATCAAAAAACAATAAACTAAATAAAGCTAAATATTGAAAAATCATTTTGCAGATATAAAGAAGCTCTTAAATCAAAGATCGGTAAATAAAATATATAATGGACTTAGGAGGAATTAGTAATTAACAGCAAATCCATCGATCGAGTGAAGCAATTTATAAACAAGTATGATGCTGGAGAAGGTCATGAACTAAGAGCCACTATGTGTTAACGCCCATTCCAGACTCAGTTGATTATGGCTATCGGTGAAATTTAATTCCGAGATAATTGTCTGGCATACGTTTACAAAAAATAAATTGTGACACAAATTCCAAAAATCAGACTTAAAAACATAATGTTCAGAATGCTGTATTTTTGTATTCTGTAACAGTGATTTGAAAGAATTTAAATTAATAACGCATAATTTAAAGCGTGTATGTTGTGTGAATGCTTGATTAAAAAAAAAAAAAAAAAAAAAAAAAAAAAAAAACAAAAAGCAAATACAAATAAATAAAATAATTGAAAGAAAAAAGAAAAAGAGTGAATTTCCATTTTTATCTTTGTAAATCGATACTTTACATTTTGTAAAAGTGACGTATAGAAAGAATAATGTAATATTAATGTCTTTTCAATAAATCTAAAATAATAAACTGGCCCAGTTGTTATAAAAGAATTTTTTTTCAGTGAATACATTTATTAATAAATTTGACTTTTGATAACCTTATGTAAAAATGAATAGGTTCATTTTCATTTCATAAGTGAATACATAATGTAGTTACAAAATTATTAAATATGATGTTGTGTAAAATAAATTGAAAAATTGATTTCATTCAGAATTCATTTTTATTATTAAATCAACACATAATTAACAAATTTCTTTTTTTGAACACGAAAATATGATTTAAATACAAGTTTAAAAATAATATTTCGTTCATGGCCATTCGTTTGTTTAAAACGATTATACACTTTTTACTGGACATGCATTAAAGTCGTAATATAAGTCATTTCGATAAAATCTTAATGTAAATTTCGTAAATTTCATATTAAAATAAGTAGGCATATTGTAAATGGTTTCACGATCAAATTAAAAATTACATTTCTTCAGATCTCGACAAAATAATGGATAAGCCATATGTGTCGGAAGCACGATGAAAAAATATTGAACTTTATAACAATGTATATTATTAACATTTATGTACAATACTATAAAATATCACAAATAGTATCTTTAACGCAATAAGTTATTTCCCCGTGTCAGTACAATTCCTCTGCCTTTACGTTAGCGCAACTTATGTACTCGAGTTATCAAAAATTTTCCTTTGCTTTACGATTCGAACGAAGAAGAAATATAAATATATATATATATATATGTGTATGTATGTTCGTGTGTGTGTGTGTGTGTGTGTGTGTGTGCGCGCGCGCGCGCGCGCGCGCGTGTATGGTGGTATTGGCATTGGCAAATTAATTTAAATTAACGCTTTATTGTGAAAATTTACTACAACTTCGGGATACTTGCGCTCGCCCAGCGCTCCTAATCTCTTTCAATTCAATCGAAGCTGTTCGTCTATCCTGATGGGCGAGCAACGCGAATCATCGAGGTCGCGAGGAGTTGATCGACACGGAAGGCAGTGACGAAGGACGATAGGAAGGCGTAGAGGGCACTCGATGGCGACCTAAGGCCCGTAATACCGTGGTCCCTCGGGCTAATGGCAGAAGCAATAGAGGCGCATGTGGAAGTCGTCGACGCAGGCGCTCTGTCTCCCGTAGGCGTTGAGGCGACTTACTGGACCGACGAGGCCGATGCTGCCATTATCGGCGCGATGCCTCATCGAGCCCTCGAACACCGCGTTCCCGGGCGTCGTCTCGATTATCACCGTGTAATCCGTCCAGGGCGCTTTCTTCGTCTCTTTAGCCTCGTTCTCCTTCTCCACGGCATTGTTGCTAAGTACCTTGGCGTCGATGAGGGCGAAAACATGGAGCTGGGCACACTGGGGATAAAGGGCGAGCATCCCATTGAGCTCCGTGATGAGGTAGCCGACGACCTTGGTCACGATCGGATCGTCGTGGGAGATGTTGTGTCGTTCGTGGCACATACACCAGTGCTCGGGGATGCCGGCCATTGTGCAGGTGCGATGCTCCGGGATCGGCCTAAACATGCTGATACCACGCGGGATCTTGGCTTTGGGATCCTTCCTCGTATGGCCCTGCAAATGAAGGCTCTACCGGATTAGAAAGAGTGAATATGCGTGTCGGCGGGGTCATGTTTAGAATATTGAACATTCAATTCAATTTTTTTCAAATTTTTTTCATTTTCCGTTTTTTTCTTTATTATATGTACGTAATTTAAAATTCATTTGAGTCACAGCCTCATCTATTGAGGTTATATCGATAAGTTGCAATACACCGAGGTTCTTCTTAATAAAGAATTAAATTGCAACTGTTAATTTAAGAAATTTTTAATGATCAAGCTTTTTCGTAAAATAGATCGAGTGAAAAATCAAACAGTTATTGAAATTTAAAAATTTCTTTACTAACCGTTAACATTTACTTTTCTTCATCCTATTAGAATATCCTAATTGCGACTTAAAATAAAATTCGCGATTTACTTATTAATAGATTCACTCAAATTTTCATATATCACGTGTAAATAATAATTGTATGAAATCTGCTGTATGAAAGGAAATTATTCATCTTTTCGGATGAAATACATTTGAGATGTGATTATTACAAATTTTTTTTTTTTTTTTTTTTTTTTTTTATATTTTACACACTGCTGCTATGGTGTTATACCATATAAATTTCTTTTTAGCTTCCTCGATTCTACGTCAAGAATACATTTAATAACATTTCATTTATCAACTGCAATTAATCAATCAACGGATCTACTAATAAATCTGCAAGTACTAATGAACTGGCAAATTAACGTAACTAAGATTATGAATTTGTTGACTCATTAAAGTGCTTGAGCGCGTAGATTAAAATGGTATGTTTTTATTTTTAAAAATGTTAAATGTTATTAATGACTTTTAACTTCCAAAGTATTTTATAAAGTTATATCATATCCGTTAAATGAAACATTCTAATTGAAATTTATAATACTATATTATTTTTATTGTGAAGAAATAACTTATAAAATTTATTCAATTGTAATGGCAATAATACATTGGTAAATAAATCGAATCAATAATAAATACTCTTAGTCATTATTTAATTTTATAATAACAGATTCCCATTATACTTTCATTTATTTTCATAATAACTTTTATTATTAAATTCTGAAAAATACGTTGGATTGCTTCGATAAGAGTACACACTTGAAAAATTAGATTAATAAACAAAATATGCTAAGTGATACTGTAGATATTTTTTTTTGGAAAAATTCTCTTCCTACTTTGAACGCTCAAATCACGTAGTAAATCATAATTATCTCTATTAATTGAAATTACTTATTAAATATTATTCTAAATTAAAAAGAATTATTAATACATATTGAACATTATCGAAGAATTTTAAATGAAGTAAAATGAAAAAAAAATCTTACGGTACGCAAAATATGCAAATATTAGTTTAAAACGGCTGATTAAAGAATACCATATACGAATACCATATATCTTTAAAGCTTTTATTCAAATTTTTTATTTAAAAGTATCGAATGAGTTACTCAGCATGCATTATTAATTAATCATTAATAATAGTTCATATTTTTATACGCGTAAGTATGAACATTTAATGTATGAATTGTATTTGTTGGCATAACGATCGATCCATCGATAACCGGAGAAATTCATTGTAACCGCTAATTAGAAATATAATATATAATAAAAATAAATTTAAGATTTTTGACAAGAAGTTGTTATAAATTATTAATAAATTGAAAGAGCGTCACTAATTATAATTAATTATACGAATTATAAATTAAAAGTTAGAAGATTAAAAATATATCAATAGCAATAATAATATCAATAACTGAATTTTGGATAAAGAAAAAATAAAAAAAAAAAAAGAGTAAAATAAAATAAACATATATGTGCTATTTTATTTGTGTTCTTATTATTATAAACATATATGTGACGTTTACAAATCAAATAAATCTAATGAATTAAATAAATTATATAACAAGTGGTGAATTTAATACTATTTTACTAATAGTCGACTGCGTGATTTAGATTGATTGTCTCGCATTTACGCACATAACGAAGAATCATATTGAGAAAAACTGAGCACACGTGAATAATTGTTTAATAAAACATGTAACTACTTGAAAGTATTCTTCAATCACTAATAAACAGTAGCATTTTCATGCTCACGATTTTCAAATGCATTATCGCACGTAAGCAAACTTAAAATTACATAAAAAGTGCCAAAAATGTAGCTTGCAATGTATATGTAAATGATGGAGCTAATGATTAATGTCTTTATTAATCCGACATGACGAAGAGACTTCCTTCCTACCTGAATTGCAAGGCGACTTGGTTCAAGAATATCTCGCAGAGTCTCGTGAAGATCGAAAGGAGTCGTTAAGCTCCTCGTGTTCCTTTTCAGCTCGTTCCAAGCAATCGCGTGCCTCGTCCTCCACCAATAGGGTAGCAATAGAAACACGAAAGGGAGACTGTCCTCCAAGTGACCTTGATAGGTTTGCCTGAACGAGCCCCACCTCATGCCGTGGTCGCTCATGAATACGAGCATCGTGTTGCGCAACAGGTCGTTCTGAAGTAAGTATTCGAAGAAGTCGTGATAAGAGTCGTCGCCCAGCTGCGGATACTCGATGTAGTCGTGCGTGAGGCTGGCCTGCCAAAATAATCCAAAGTACGGATCATCGGCGAACTCTTCGGCCACCTTCCGTGTGTAATGCAACAAACAGTCGAAGTTCAGCCTCGTCCCCAGGCACAGATTGGCGTTAAGCTTGTGTGTGTTGCCGATCTCCGACTCCGCCGCGACGCAGTAAGGCCTTAGATAATAGTCCGTCGGCTGCTTCCTGTGAGTATTGTATTATTGTTTTTTTATTGTTGTCGCTTGTTGTCCTCGTGTTTGATATTATTGCATTTGTTTAAATGCTAAAAGCAAGGGATATCGGTCCGAAGGCTGGTCTTTCGTCAAAATTGGATATTGGAATATGGAATGAAATGGAGTTTTAATTGCCTGAGCTGATAGATTGGAGTTTTTGAAGAAAACGAGTGGAGAGTGCAGATCGCGCAGAAGATAAATAAAGAAAAGAGAAAGAAAATGTGTGTGTGAGAGAGAGAGAGAGAGAGAGAGGGAATACACAAGAAAATCAACTCATGAAATGGAAATGTCCGTATCCCGTGTTTGGGCACGTAAACAAGACTTTCAACTCGCTGACAAAATTATCTCACCTAAAACCCGGTTTCAGATAATTGAAGATGGTCATGTAGCAGGCGTCCTCGGCGAATATCGTTCGGTATCCTTTGGCTTTGAAATTCTTCCAGAGCAGCGGGCATCTGTCAAAGGGCTTCTTGTGGCTTGTCCAGCAGAGCTTTTCGAATTCGATTTGCGATAGGCCGCTAAGGACCGGCACTAGATTGGGGTACGTGTTGTCGGCGACCTTATTATAGCCGAGCATCTCGACCGCACCCATGTCGCGGAGTAGACGTAGTGTACGTGGCATCGAACGATGAAAGTTGAGCCGCGAGACCGAGTCCATGCCCACCACGAGGACGCTCAGTCTCTCCGGCGAAGGGGTTGGTAGCACCGAGTTAGAGCGCAGAGTCCGAAGTCGCTCCCGACAATGCTCCTCCACGTATAGCTTCCGAGGCACAAAGGCAAAATAATCACGATAGATGCTCTCGTTTTTGCGTTGGCATTCCACCCTGATGAACTCCTCGTTGACGAAGGTGGCCTCTTTGAAAAAGTGACAGTCTTTGCTGATACTATTGGGATTACGTTATTTGTCATTTCTCATTCTCTTCTCATTGGGCGTTTGAAATATTAATTTACATTTTCATCAAGCGCCTATGGGCATTCGATTTCAATTTGACTTTTCAACTACCCCGAATCTAATCATTGATTGTCATTTCTATTAATATTATTAATTATATAATATATAATTGAGTTTCTTTACTGAACTAAAGTGCATCTGTACGATGACATTCAATTGAAATGCGAATATTATTAAATAATAATGCAGTGCAAGCTTTTACGTACTTAATAAGTATTGCTATTTCACAGTAAGTTACACAAATGTTTAAATTATTTTTTTTAGCTCACTTTACAATGTATATTGTTATATTTTGATACTTTATAGCTGGAATTAAATAAATGGCTAGGTTATTCAATTACTAATAATATTCTCAAAAGAATTCTTCTACAAATACGTACAATTAATATTAAATCATGACCTAGATGCTTCCCTTACTACTGACTGACACTTAAGCGTATTTTATTTAAGCAATTTATTTAAATTATCGTTTGTATAACTTTTTATTTTTTTAATATAAATTACATGAACGTATATTTGCGAAAAGAAAAAAAAAAGAAAAAGAAAAAAAAATTAAAACCGGAATTGAAAATTAAAATAATGCTAAATTTACCTCTATAATTCTATAACGATATTTATAATATTTTATCGGCGATTTTCAATAATTTTTTCAATACCCAGTCACATTATAGTACCAATAGTGAAAAATTTTACAGCCTCGTAATTTAAATAGCTTACGACAAGATCGAATTTCAAGCAAGTAATACGTTAATGAAAATCATTTTTACACAAGTGATAACGAAACTGTAAATTCTTTACAACATATACTTTCCCGAAAGTACTAATACTTTTGCACACGTAAATTGAAAAACTTTTCAAAATTTAACAACACTATTTAATTACTTGATTCAAGCATTAAAACATGTATTATATTTATTTGAGAATTACACTATTATCAATGAGCACAAGTTTTACGTGAAATAGTGAAACGCAATTATTTTACAAATACTCTACCTCGAACATTTATATTAAAAAATAAATAAATTATGCTAAATTATATTATAATAAATTATAATTATAATATAATAATTATAATAAATAGTTATGCTAATTCAAAGTTATATGCTAATATTCGTAATTAAAATTAAAAAGTATATTGGACTGACAAAGTCCCAACGAATATCATATTTCCCATAAAAACGTAACGTAAAAAATTCAATTTTTTTTTTTTTTTTTTTTTTTTTTTTTTACAGCTTTTAGCAACTAGCGGAGCTTTTGTTCTTCTTATATATCATAATTAAAGAATGGATTCGCGAACGTTTGTCCGATTAAATTAATATTTTACCATCAGATCCCTCGTACATTTGATAATCAGCTCACATAATTAGCTCAAACAATTGTAATAAAATGGATCTTACGTTATTTCATTGTCTTTGTGGTCGGATCGCCAAAAATTACGCCAACAACAATCGATGCTCTCCGATTCGTTGTAATAATGATTTCGGGCCTCCGAATTGATGAAAATGGCACTGTTGTTCGAGCTGACTAGCGGCAAATGAACCCCGTGTTCGCAAACTATGGGCTTTGCTTTATCAATGTAACGCATTACGAGTGGCTCAAAAGGGCTTAAGTCGGGTATGTGGCAGCCCTTATTATTCACCACATAACCACTTTGAGCCGGTGGAGTCGTCGTCGATTCTTGGGATTTAGTTTCGATGTCATTTACTGAAAGTTTTATTAGGCATGTCAAATGAAATAGAAAAACTTGGGCACAAGAATATTTATATCTAGTTGGCTTAGTCTTAATCGGCTTAATCTGCCAATACGCCCCATTTATGCAAGATAAATCAATGATGTTGAGAATATTTCAAGTTCTCTGACAAACGCCAAGTGAATTTGAAACAAGTCTTGATCTAATGAACATTTGAACCAGAGGGAGAAAGATGGAAAAATTATGTCATATTAAGAATTAAAAATAATCCGAGGCCTACGGTTAAAGGGATTCTCTTGTTTGCTAGATTGAAATTAACTTAATTAATACAATAGAATATTATTAATAGAATAGCAATGTCGTACAATGTATTAAAATTGTATGAAATTGAAACTTTAATGGCCATTTAAAAATTCAAGATATCCATTAAAAGTATTTAAACAAGTAACTACAATAGCGAGTCCTGTCTCTGAAAGAAACTGAAAACTTTTTATTGGCCACATAGTAATACTTTTTATTGGCTGAATTACGATGAACCTGATTTCTCCTATCGGTTTACACTTAACGATTATTATTATCATGAATATTGAAATGTTATTTCGATTAATCGATAGTATTTTATACGGATAAAATTATTATAATATGACAATTTTGTAAAACATAAGTAACTTTTAACATGATACCTATAAGATTTTATTACCTAATAATTATAAAAAGAAATTATATATATATATATATATACATGAATCATTGTATTAATCGTTGTTCAAAATTTATATTGATATTATCTGTACATGAATTACATTTCCATCGTTAAAACATCATAACTTTTACGAACAATATATAAGATATGTAAAACCTTGGTAAATAGCTAAATATACATTTATAGGAATATAAAGAAAAAAAACTATTTTATTGTATACAGTTTTATATACTTGACTTTAATATCTTCTCTCTTTTTAATTTTCCTTTTGAAAAAACGGCTGAATAATTTAACTTCGTTAAATTTCTAAAAATTAAATTCACTAATTTATGAAATTAGTAGCTAATATGATTTAGAATATACACAATGTATGTATTAGATTTGAATTCTAACTTAAATGTTTTCATAAATCTTGTTTGTTTTTACACAGTGAAAACATAATCTAATTGCTATCGGCAAATGTACTATGAAAATTATATAAATACAATAAAACATAACTTTCGTTATTATTATAAATATTTCAAAATCATTTAAAAGGTATATTCAATAAAAAGAATTTTAAACTCTATTAAGAAATTTAGTGAAATAGAAATAACTTGTATAACGCATTAATTAATTGCATTTCCTCGTGCTAGCGAGCCAGAGAAATTCATTATGCTAACCGAAATTTGAGAAATAAATAATTTCGTTCTAGCTCACGAATAAACTCAAAGTTATAAATATAGATTACGAAATATTAATTAAAGTAATCGATAAATTCACTTTTATGGCACTGAATACTAAGGGCGTTACTTACTTTTACATACGTTTTTTTTTCTTTTTTTTTTTTTTTTCTTTTTTGTTTCTTACAAACGTTTATTATAACGTTATACGTTAATATTTTTTATTTATACATAAGCATATTTTATTTGACTTAATTTTATTTTAATAGAATACATCGGCTCGATATTTAAATGAAAAATGATTAAAGTACACTCGATGTAATTAATTTATGGTGAAATTAGAAAGCTTATATATATATATATATATATATTTTCATATATAAAATTCAATAAAATATATGAAAATAAATGCTTATAAATGTATTCTCGATGACGGTTTAATAAGGTTTGTTAAATTATTATTAACGGATTTAAGGTTAAACGTATTGTACAACATTATCGAACCGACCTTCTATTTTTCAATCCTGCATATCGTTAATCTATATGTGGTAATGTAACGTTAAAAAGTTTACTACTCGATATACGTATAGGAATTGAACTCAATACACATTAAAATGGGTTCATTCCATATTTTATCCATCCTCCTATTATAATAATCACTCGTTGACAATGAGTATCTCGTGTTCTTTTCCACTTAGGAACGCTGTTGAAAATAAGAAGGATTAGGTAAAAAGTTTGTACAGCTCGTGAAAAAAGAGAGTGAAATAATTTTAGCCATTATATTATGTATGCGCATTTATGTCAGTTGATACTGTGTTGGAGCAACTTATTTGCCCTCGTCCAATTAAGAATAGCGACGTTAAGAAATCTGCAACATTAAATGCGCGCGCATTTGCACGAGCATGGAAGCATGTGCGTGAAAAGGTGATAATTATTATTTAAATTTAAGCAAGACGTGGCATTGTATAATGTTAAACGCAAATAGAGTAAAGTAATTTGTTTGAACCTTGATTAGCAGTGCTGCTGAATGGGATTATCCGAAATTGGCCAATTGTGAAGCTGTTAATCGCCAACAAAGATACTAATAAAAAGATAAGTAGCCCTATTAGCCATCTTTTCAGTCGTAGTCCTCCCTTTGGATTCCCTCCTTCAAACGGCATTCTCGCCATTTGAGGATCGTCATCTGGCTAATTTTCATCTACCATTATCTAAAATAGATTTTTGCAGCAATAGAGGCATAAAGTTTTTTTCGTAAATAATGGGGTGTTTATGGAGGAAGGGCGCACGGCAGGCTTTTCATTAAAATGCGATGGAATATTGAATATTTCGATTAAGTCACTGCCAATGACGCTTAAGCGTGTACAATGGCATTTCGAAAATATTATAAGAATACCGTAAGGACATTCCTTTAATATGAAATAGTTGAAAGATCCAACTTGGTGCTCGCGATGACGCATGCTATTCGCAATTAGCGTTACCCGCTCGTATTTTGTTTGATTTGATTTTTAAATCCGATTTTATGCGAGCCGTGAAAATGGCAGTGTGTGTGCGTGCCTGTGAGAAGAAAAAAAATTTATATATTATTTGAGTTTTATCAATCGCGAACTTTTATCGATATTTTGATGCATACCATTGTTTGCATATATATATATATATATATATATATATATATATATGACATATAAAACATTTGCAAGCGAATAATGGATAATAGAACTTATGAAATTCACTATATACGGCATTAGAGAATTTAAATGTGAATTAATTAATAAATTAGGTAAAACGGAATTTTTCAATTTTTTTTTCTTTTTTCTCACTCTTTTATTCTTTTTCTTTTTTTTAATTTCTATTTCAGACCAACAATGTGATTTAATGTAAAAATATAATTGAACGAGCGTAGATGTAAAATAAATGTTTTTATGTTCAAATTCAGATAACAAAATTGAAAATAAACATATGACGTAAACCGTAAAAGCGAATTATATTTTTGAGTCCTTGTCCTAAAAATTTATCTAAAGCAATGCAAGACTCGGTAAGTTTTATGTTAAAAATTTTAATAGATTGAAAATTTTGTTCACGTGAAATTAATATGCTATATGTTAGTGATTTAATAAATATAAGTACTTTTGACTATTCGAACGAAAGAACTTTTACTTCACTTACATTTGCTTTATTTACAACTAAAAGTATAATGATCATCATCAATTCATGTATTTGAAAAGATGTAAATATGTAAGGTTGAATGCTTAAATGTTTCGAGGCTTAATTTACGAATGTTAAAAATATCCTATCGTGTAGTCCATTTTTTCTATACTTTTTATTTTTTAATAAAGATTATGTATATGGATGTACGTGCGTGCGTGCGTGCGTGCGTGCGTGCGTGCGTGCGTATATCAACGAAATTACGTTATACACGTTACTTATAAATGCGGAAGACACAATTTTAAGAATTAATTCGCAAATATTTCTATTTATATAATAAGATTCTGTTTTTCTTCATACGTTGTAATCTTCGTTACGGAAATATTTTTCTTCTTTTTTCTCTCTAAATATTTCACTCTTGAAAATTCATTACGTTAAGCAAGAATCAATGACAACAATAATAACCACAACAATAAAAATCATAAAACATAATAGTAACAAATATATATATATATATATATATATTGCTATTACTCAAACACTTAGTAGTTGCGCAAGAATTACAACAAAGAATTAACGAAAGGTTTGTCACATTTACGAGAATCTACGGTTAACCGAAAATAAAGGAAGCACAGAATAAGGCGTGGATGGTCTATGTTCGCCTAAGTATGCGTGCTTTGTGTCCGTTCCATATCGAGTCTACATGAATAATGACATAAATAGTGCAAAGGTCAAATATTCTTACTCTGAATAAACTTATAATCGTATGTACGTACGTAGGTATAATGTAGAACTGTCGGTGACATCATTCTCGGAAACTTAATGAACTAATAAAAAATCTATCAACACGCGTATATATTTGTACGAAGCAATAATTTATATCGAGCATTGCCTATCTTTTACACGATAGAGTAAAAAAAAAAAACAAGCGAGATTCGTGAATTCTCAGCGGTTCCACCGAGTCCTTGCAATACACTACGATTTTTAATGAAAAAAGTAAGGAGAGAAAGACAGAGAGCGTGGACATTGAATAAATATGGTGAACGTATGGGAGAACAATCGCTGTGTTAAGGGAGAGAGGAAGGAAAGTAAGCGAGCGCCCGCTTTTATTAAGAAATACAGGGGGTGCAGGAAGGGGACGAGTGGGGTGTAAAGATGCACGTGCGAAGAAGAAGAACGGGGGAAAGCACTATTGATCATGGGCCGATATCGTGAAGCGCGGAAGACGTGAGATGGCACACCAGCACGCGGAAGGTCCGATGAGGCGACGACGGAGGGAGGAGGTGGATGGGGTGCTCGCGTCGATCTCCGTCGTCGGCGCTACCTCGTTAGCATGAGATCGCGTGCTCCCGGACTTCCGAGGCGGACCGGCCGAGGCGCTCGAGAGGACTGGCCGCGAGTCCCTGATGACTCCGACTCGCCGCCGCTTCCCCGTGGCAGCTCGCATTTCAGGAAACTGCCTGCAGCACAAAATAGCGGTCGGGGCTGCTGCCGTCGAGGCGCAGCGCCGCCACCAAGGGGACACCGACGTCATCCGGTCGATAGAGGAGCGCGCGCGCCGATCCTTTCCACCACCCCTCCGCCCCTCCAACTGACACGAAAGCCTCCTCCCCGACCCTGAAGTCGTAGTGCTCCGAACCTGGCTTTTCGAGGGTTGACGCCCCGGTTTTTCTCCCCATGCATACACCCAACGTGACTAACTGACTAACTGACTGTTTTGTAGAAAGAGATAGAGAGAGATAGAGAGAGATAGAGAGAGAGTGAGAGAGAGAGAGAGAGAGTGTGTGTGTGTGTGTGTGTGTGTGTGTGAGAGAGAGAGAGATGCTGCGAATGCTTACCTACGCGCTGCAGAGCCGTGCTCAAGACTGACCGCGACAAGCTTTTCGCGCGATTCGATGCACCGCGATAAATCTGATCCATAAACACCCGCGCGAACAAGCGCCGGTAATTGTTACATGGGCCGTATTATCGGCCTCCTCCATCCCACTCCAAGCGTTTAATTATCCGCGAGTTATTTATCTCGGCCGGCGACCGAACGACCGACCTTCCCCCGCTTTTTCTTTCCAAACAGCCGCGTGACTTTGTTTTTCTTCGCCGCCGCGGCCCACTGCAGCATCACCACCACCACCACCACCACCACCATCACCAATACCACCACCACCACTACCGCCACAATTTCCACCATTTCCACCATTTCCACCATCTACACCTTCACTGCGACCACCATCCCCGCCACTACAATTACCGTCGCTGCTGTCGCCGTTATTACTAGTACTATTATCATCGTCATCGTGACCACTACGTAATACTGCCATTACTACTGCCATTACAACTGCTATTACTACTATTACTACTATTACTACTTCTACTACTACTACTACTACTACTACTACTAATACTAATACTACTAGCGTATTTTCGGTAATGATCCTTGCCTATTCTTGGCTTTTATGGGCAGTTCATATTTCGGGCTTCCCGGATTCCTTTCATCTCCTGGTGATTTTCCAATAACAATCACATCCGCAGCCCACTCCACCCCATTCATTTAACCAAGCAATTAAGAAATGACAATGGCTATTACATAAAATGTACTAATATATTATATTGTATTATATATTTGCTGATTTGGCAGTTACGTTTCTCGCGCAACTTGCAACTCGATTTTCCTCTTCCTTTCCTCTCATTTTTTCAGGCTATAACATCAAATCGTATTGAGCGCTCGAACTCTTCGTTTATCATAGAAAGAGGTATACAAGCGTGGAAAAACATAATTCTCAACCAATCTATTGTTGTTCGTAAGCTAATTGAAATTTTAGGTGTGTTCTATTAATGGTGTTCACTCGTAGCGCACGGGAGTCGGGAAACCTCAACTGGTAAATTCAATTTTCCTACGCGGTCTAATTGACTCTATGCTAACCGCCCGGGAATTATCGTTCATCGTATTAATTTTACGCTCCGAGTAGAAAGTGCGAGTTGATTAAGGAAAGGAAAGGGCATTTATCGATCCGCTAGACCCTTGATTAGCCCTTCGTTTTCACATTTTCCAATTGCAGCTTAGAGCCCATTAAAGTCGTTGATAACAATTACGCCAGTTTACTCACGAGTTTGGCTCGTATTTACTTTTCAAAATTTTTCGTGAAGTAGAGGGATGGGGTAGTAGACGATCGATGGGGGCAAAATATTGCTCGTAACTGTCACTAAAAACAAAAGCATCGCTACGATCATCCCAAATGTAAGATACAAACCAAATAATCGGCTTAACCTCGATTGTTATGCCTACCACCGTACGATGTGTTAAAATATTATTCGTGGAAAATTTATTTCCGACAATAATGAAACGTGACTCAAAAATTACCAAAATGGCCCGCGCTTTAGAATAATTCTCACATCGTATATACAATTCTTGGGGTGGTATGGTATTGATAAAAACCACACACATTTGTACATACATATATATATATATATATATATATAAATATATATATTTTTAAAAAAACTCATAATGAGCAATTGTCTCGAGCTCCAAAGCCATTTAAATGATAATTTTTAGTAATAAAAGAGCCAGTCATAGAGATTGGTCGTACGTGTCTGGTCGTAATGCCGAAAAATCAAACGAAGATTAAATCACGTGGAAATGTTTAAAAGGAGTGTGGGTAACGATAGTCACGATCCTAGTGGACTTTAGTGCGAAGCTTATTGTGTGCGTCAGCGACGGCATAATTTTCCAGCGACCGTCGAGGGGCGGAGGGGCGGAGGGGCGTAGGACTTAAAGATAAGGTACGAAGAGAAGTTAAGCTTACGCTGAAGTAAATGAGTGTACAGCAAAAATTACTTTTCATCTCCGATATCTCGATTCTATTCGTAGTCGTGCCGCCATTGGCCGCTGAATTCGCGCGCTTATTAAAAATTCATAGCCGTGAAAACAAGGATTGTAAGGTGCGGGCCTTACGAAATCAGCCACTGTGTGATAAATTAACAATCCAATGCTTCGGTAATGAAATAAAATTAATTTGCAATTTAAAGAGCTGTTGAACGATATTTTTTACATTTACATACCATGAGTGTCGTGTATTATTTTTTAATAAACATATGTAGCTGAATTTGCAATTGAGAGAAGAATTGGAAATGAAGCGCATACTTTTCAAGAAAAAATTGTCTTTATATTGAAAAGACAAGGCCTGATTGATAATACATTTGTAAGACAATTGTAAAATACGTATTCAATATAAGAGATTAAAATGTGGATGTAAATTAATTGTATTGGCTTCAGCTCGACGTTAACGGATTAACGGATATTTACACAACCGAATAAAACTAATATATTCTATGGAGGCTTGTTTTATGTGATACGATGGCTCACGTAATAATGGATTGAATTTAGGTTTTGCTAAATCAAAATACAAAGCTGTACCAGAGCTAACTGTACTTGGTAAATTTATACTTGGCAAACATTTTCTTTTTTTCTTCTGAAAAATTCTGTCCAATTGTAATGCATAAATTCACAACTGTTATAACATTAATAAAACATATAATTTATAACTACGCTCAGTATTATCTAATGATTAAGCACCACTAATTAAGCATTAATTACCAAAAAATATATTTATCATCAGTCTATTTAATTTCAGCAATAATCATACTTAAATTGAATTATGTAATTCAACAAGTTTATTTGGTTGAATGAAACACGATATATTGTTATCATAAGTATGATAATATTTTCATGGCTACATAGCTAGTCTTTTTCAATGGATATTTTACAGGACGCATGACTATATCAATGAACGAAGATTAAACTTTCAAAATGATTTTAAATATTATGCCTACCGAAAGAACAATATATAATAATCGTAAAACAAAATCATTTGAGCCATTGAAGAGTTACAATGTTGATATACTTTAATTCAATGTGTTACGAATATGTTTGATAAATTATTTAACATTAGTGACTTTAGTGGTTATTTCAAGTCATATCATAATTAACATATATGATGGAATCCTAATGTACTTAAAAATTAATTGCATATATATATATATATATATATATATATATATTCCATATACACCGAATATTTCCGAAATTATCTACAATTAACGTAAGGAGCATAATAATCTATAAATAGAATAGAGAAGAAGAAGAAAAAAATCAAAAGATATAGATTGAAGGTAGATAATTAAAGTGAGAAAATAAAAAATATAAAGTATTACAAATAGTAATGAAATTTAAAGGGTAAAAGATATTTTTTAATTGATATGAATGAATAGTAAAGAAATATTTCGTAAAAATAACTTTTACTTTTATGTAAGGAAGAAGTGTAGATATTTGTACAATCAATGTTTCGTTTGTACTACCAATAAATAATTTATTATAATTGTATAAAATATGATGTGTAATGTAGTTTATCACACAATTCTATAAATGCGATAGATAATTGTGAATCTCATACGTAAAAGGAGATATCCTTGATTAGGGAATAAATAGAGATGCGTTACTACAATATTTTAATATTTGTAATATCCAATGTTGTAATGTAAAATTGCAAGAGAAAATACGAATACTGAAAAATGAAAAGTAATTATTGTATAATATAAGTAATTAAAATTATCCGTTTATTAAAATTTATTTTATTAAGTGATAATAAGATGATAAATTAAGAAATTATTTTTAAGCGCTAAATTGTAATGGAATTAAGAAGGATGAAATAGAAATGTCATGAAAGTAGTAATAGAGACTTGAAAAAAAAAAGTATTGTTAAAAATCTATAGACTATGTATGATACAAATATTTGGAACGTAAAAATGTCGTAAGGTTTTGTCGTAACGCCTTACAAAGTGTTAAGTACTTAAAATTAAATACTTAAATACTTATCCTTAAAGAAATTTAAAATTAATTGGTTCACAAAGCCGTATATGTGCGCTCATAAGAAAGAAATCATAAACTTTGATGTTTTGAGATATTTCGTTCGAGACAGATGCTAAATACATTACAGTTACAAGCTTTGTTTATTATTAATACGAGATTGGAAAGATTAGAGAGAGAGAAAAAAAAATGTTTTTCAAATTTCTTTCTCACTTTCCTTCGTTCCCTCGTAAGACTTGATAATTCATCTAAGAAAAATTCATCAAAAATTTTCTCTCCCATTAATAATAATCTTAAATCTTAAATCTTATCTAATAATCTCTAATATCCACTTTTATTATAATTCTAATCAATATATGTTATTAAATTATTCCACTACATTATTATTGTAATATATTTATTGTAAATGGCCACTGAAATAAGCTCGAAATAAGTCAACGAACTCGTGTATCACAATGTACGTGGCCGAAATATATCAGCTTGGTGATTTGTCTATCCGATTTGCTTTTGCCTGACAAACGTTAATTTCCTACCAATTTATTTAGTATCTCTTCTCCTTCCGTTTAGCACGTGTACGAGCTTCCATGTTCGTCTTTTCCCATTTCCCTCTGTGCCTGTTAGATAAGCACGAAATCAGCTTTCGCAGTTATCCGTAAGAGGAAATAATGTATTCTGCCTGCTACGGAGAATTCCTTCCCGGTTCGGCACTGCTCCTCGGTGATTTATTTTTTCATCTCTACTATAGCTTATTAAACTATTTTTTATTTATTTTTTTTTTCCTTTTCCTCTTTGACGATCGACCTACATCTGCTATGCGTACGAATTTAATGTGAAACAATTCATCAAAGCCACACATAGTAGGGCAATTTAAATACACGAGCCATTTTTACTATTTAATGTGAATAATAGAAAAAGCTATAGTTGTAGGATAATTTCAAGTACACCTTACTGGTATCGATAAAAATCAAATATGTATAACTTATTGGTAATATAACATTTATGAAATATTGATTCTTTTA